CAATTTGACACTAACATTCGGCGTTTACGACTCCATAAGGATGTCAAATATAATCATATGTACCTAAAAATACTTACAAATGTAAAATAAAATAAGAATAATATTATTCTATGTTTAAAAATATTTTAAATAAGAGTAAGAAACGCTGGCCGTAATGAAATTGGAGAGGTATAATTTATAGGGTTTTATTACCAAACAAAGCATTTTTACACACTTTCAGTACAAACTTTGGGGTGCGTATTATGGATGAAGGCGTATTTTACATGCGTAATTACGGTAATTAAATTTTGATCTGATACCATCTTTGTATAATATTCAATCTGCGTGAAACAGATTTGAAACATTAAAATTTGTGTAATATAAATGCATTATATATAAATATATATATATACGTATAAATATATATATATATATATATATATATATATATATATATATATAATATAACACCAGCAATTTTGAGATTTCATTATATATAGAAGGACCAAATATCTTTTTCAATGGCCGAATACAGAGGCCTGTATTTACGATTCTTTAAAGGTTTCCCAAACGATCCATAAATGGTTTTGAATTCTGTAACAGTTGTCCTTCTCCTAGACCAGTTGCCATCCAAGGCTATAGAACCCAATCTGTCATGCTATCTGGAGGGAGAAGAAGATTCTTAATACCTTTCCCAAGGATATTAGCATGTAACATGTATGTAATGGATTCGACAGTCCAATTCCCATATATATATATATTATATGTATATATATATATATATATATATATATATATATATATATATATATATGTGTGTGTGTGTGTATATGTATATATATATATATATATATATATATATATATATATATATATATATATATATGTATAACAGTCTATTCATATCTCTCTATCTATCACATTATGTTTCATATCTATATATCTATCTATCTATCTATCTATCTATATATCTGTCTCTTCTATCTATCCATCTCATTCTGTTCATATCTATCTCATTTTGTTCATATCTATCTATCTATCTATCTATCTATTCCTCTATCTATCTATCTATCGTATTCTGTTCATATCTAGCTATGTATCTATCTCATTCTGTCCATATTTATTTATCTATCTCATTCTGTTTCTAACTATCTATCTATAAAATGATAGTTTGAATGCTATATATATATATATATATATATATATATATATATAAAATGATACAAATGTGTGTCCTATATATAAATATATATATATATTTATACACACACACACACACACACACACATATATATATACATATATATATATATATATATATATATATATATATATATATATATATATATATATATATATATATATATATATATATATATATATATATATCATCCGGTGAATTCTGCTCAATTTTTGGTACCTAGAATTTTTGTCCCCGGAAATCAACAACTTCATTATGATCGGCTGTTTCACACCTTAAGTGATCATCAGACCATATATTTCCTTATATTATTTCTTTTTTACCTAAACGATTTATTATCCATACTGTTGTCCAATATTTCTTTCGCCTGTCGACTATTAATTAACATGAAAATGTTTGAAATAAAACATGTGTCCCTCACCTTTACTTAAGAAACCAAAAATATGTTATCTGACATTCATCGATGGAATTGTAGCTGTCATAACGGTTATCAGCGCCGAAAAGTATAATCAGCGAACTGAATTCAAATTCCGGCTTTCCTCGGGAAACGTCTGAATTCAATTAATTTCTAGCCTAAATTATGACTTATATAGATACTTATAAATACATATATAGATACTTATAAATACTTATATAGATACTTATAAATTATGACTTATATAGCCGTGTATACTATTCTTTCTACCGTAGATTTTTATCTGTCTAGTGGGTGGACTGACTTTGAATTCGGAAACCGAAGAGAAACCAACAGGAAAACACTGCAGATTGTAGGAAAGAGTTCTGGCAATACCGAAAAATGGACAACCATGAACATCTAGATCCGGAAGAGATATGTTATCTAAAAAATAAAAATATATATACAAGCAAATCGATTACTTTTTGAATGTTTATTTCATATTACCATAAAACCTACTTTTGAGTCGTAGAGTATCACATTGGATCAAAGAATGGTTTTCTTGATGCAAAAAAAAAAAAAAAAAAGGATGCAGGTTCGATTCCTGTCGGAGGCACGATTTTCGTAGGACTTTTATATTTTTCAGTTGGTTGTTATAAATTGTACTGTTTAGTAAATTAAAAATCCGAGATAGTCAGACAAACACGTGTAGTCATTAAAAATAACGTTAATAATAAGAAGAAATGCATGTCTACAACACAAGATCATGTTACATCGAAACTAAAAATATTTTAAAATTATTATTTCTTTCAATAAAGTGTTTGAAATAGAAAAAAAAAGACGACAGTTAAATTGACATTATTTTAAAAAGATTTCGGGAGAAATATAAAAAAAATATCTTTTTTTTTTTATTTACTTTAATTTGCTGCAATAAAGAAACCAATTCTCTTTTTTTTTTTTTTTTTTTTTTCAGTAGATTTTCTACAATGTAACCGGACCTAAAATAGGAATATATTCTTACGAAAATTGAGAATTCCATTAAAAGCACAATCTGCTAAGACAGTGTAACCCGGATATAAGAGACCCGGATATAAGAGAAACCCGGATATAAGAGACTTCTTCTCCGGTCCCTTTCCTTTAACTTTTCTTATATCCAACGTTACACTATAACTTGTTAGATCAAACGAGGATTTGAATTCTTCACACACACACACACACACACACACACACACACACACTCACACACACACGTATGGATTAAAACAATGGAGAATGGATAAGTAATTCTATAGCTCGACACTAAATTTTGATCTGACATTTTCATTGTATAATATTCAATCTGCGTGAAACAAGCATTGGGCTAAATATGTACATGTGCATTGTGACTAAGTGATCTACGTATATATATATACATGTATAAATACATTATATATTGTAGATAATATATGAAATGAAATCATATATATATATATATATATATATATATATATATATATGCGCATGGATATATAAAATCTATATGTGTGTAGAAATACAAATATCGTTATTTTCATGTATGTATATATGTGTGTGTCTGTATGTGTTAATAATTTTATTCAAATATAGAAACAAAATCGATACTGATAATGTAGGAATTATAGACGTCGAAAAAATAGATAGATAGAAAACATAATGATAGATAGATAGATAGATAGATAGAATAGATAGATGAATGAATAAAACAGACTGAGATAGATAGATAGATAGATAGATAGATAGATGAATGATAGATATAGATAGATATATGAATAGACTGAGATAGATAGATAGATAGATAGATAGATAGATAGATAGATAGATGAATAGATATATGAACAGACTGAGATAGATAGATAGATAGATAATAGATAGATAGATGAATGAATAATGAACAGACTGATAGATAGATATAGATAGATAGATAATGATTTTTCTTATAGATGAATATGAATAGATAGATAAAATAGACAGATATGAACAAACTTAGATATGAAGATATATATATATATATATATGTTTTTTATATATATATATAGATAGAGAGAGAGATAGATGATGGATTTAGATAGAGAGATATAGATAATGATAGATGTCTATGAAATGATATATATATAAAATAGATAAATATATAACAAACTATGATATGACGATATATATATATATGTTTACATATATATATATATATATATATATATATATATATATATATAGAGATATATATAGATATTAGATAGATAGATAGATAGATAGATAGATAGATAGATAGATAGCAATAGAGTTGGATTTACTTGTATTTATATTTCTCTAATTATTCTCATCATTACAAGAACATGAAGAATATGATGCGAATGATCGTAACGCTGGATTTGATGGATTTCTGAAAAGTTCTTAGCCTGACAAGAAGGCTCTTCCCCACAAAAGTCTTATGCTGCAGATTTTAATCAGTGTCTGGAATGTGGGTCGTATTTTATGCATCATGTTTTTCCCTTGTCAAACACTTAATTCAATGATCATTTTTAATCGCAATGATAAAATATTATACAGTGAAATAATTTATTTGGTAGTCTGAAATTATGCAAATCGTGGATTGTTTATCATTGGATATAAATATATTTGTTGATATTCTATAACTTGAGACATATAAAAATTGACATGGGTCATAAGAAATATATAATCTTAATGAAAAATAAGATATTGTTAAATTACTGAGTGTCAGGAAGAAAACTTTTGAAATTGAGAAAAGTTGAATAGAGTTCATAAAATAAAATGAAAACACTGGTAGAATAAGAAAAGAAAAGTATCTTTAATAATGACATAAAATAAATCTGAGAAAAATTTTAAAAGTAATAAGCAAGAAAATTGATTGCTTATCAACCTTAATTTGATGAAACAAAACTGTTGCAAATGTAAACAGAATAAAAAAAAGATGCAGGATATTAAGATGATTGGCTAAAATGATATTTTTGTAACCAAAGTACCACTTTTAATTAAACAAAACAAAGAGAAACATGAAAGATGGGTGAAGAAGTTGAAAACTGATTTCTCAACAGTAATTATTAGTAATGAATGTAGAACTAAATTGAATGGAACTAATGGATGGGTAAAAATATATTCATGCAAGACAATGTTCCTTCACATTCTGCAAGTCTGACTCTTGTCCTCATCAAATACATCAAATCCAGGTATTAATGGATGGAACTGATGTTTGGATCTTCATTCATTCAAGATTAATGGATGGAACTAATGGATGGGTCTTGCTTGTATATTCATGCAAAGGACAATGTTAGAATGGTCATCTCTGCAAGTCTGACTTTATTGTCTTTCCTTCATTCTGCAAAAAACTCTTGTTTTTGAAAGGTCCATCCATCCGGGTATTAATTGGAACTAATGGATGGGTAAAATATATTCATGCAAGACAGCCCCAGCTGCACATCTGTGAGAAAAAGAGCTTCCTTATAAAAACGCTTTCAATTCATCCGCCAGTATTTCGGAAAACCATAACGTATTCTGTATATTTCGAACATTCTGTACTGCTTGGATAGATCCAATACGAACATTTCAGAGTATTTGGGTGTCAATCTTAGAACTATGCAGAGGATTCAAAAAGAAATTGGATGATA